ACATCTCTTCACATGTCTAAGTCCCCTGGCACTGCCTTTTTTTAATTTTTTTATTTTTTTTTAAATATTTATTTATTATGTGTACAACATTCCTTCCATGTGTGCCGGCGTGCCAGAGGGGGGTGCCAGATCTCATTATAGATAGCTATGAGCCACCATGTAGTTGCTGGGAATTGAACTCAGGACCTCTGGAAGAGCAGTCAGTGCTCTTAACCTCTGAGCCATCTCTCCAGCCCTGGCACTGCCTTTTTTGTTTTGTTTTGTTTTGAGATTAAATCTCTCTTTGTAATCCTGGCTACCCTGGAAGTTATTATGTAGACTGGACCAGGCTGACCTTGCTCTCACAGAAATCCTTCTGTCTGTACCTTCTGAGTGCTCTGATTAAAGGCATATGCCACCATGCTCAATTCTATCCCTGACATTTTCTGTGTGTGCAGTGAGTGATGAGCCTCAGGTCCTCATGCTTGCACAGCAGTCATTTTATAATTGAACTGTCTCCTTAGCCCAAGATAAGTATTTTCATTGACCCATGTTAGAAATTTTCCTAGGAAGCCTAAAGGGCATTTAGACACCAAGTAGCTTCTAGCTGGGAGACAAATGAACCACGATTGGAGATGCCATAACAATGTCGAATATGGGTTTCTTTTCTAACACCCACATCATAGATGCTTGTACCTTCAGTTTCAGGAAATACAGTGCCCTCTCCAGCCTCTGTAGAGGCACCAGGCATACACATGGTACACATACATAAATGATTATGATGGGTCCACTCTGGGTTGGCTATAGGTGACCAGAGTACTTCTCGCAGTGGCCTGAATGCCAGCTGATATTTGATGCTACAGGGGTGAGGAGTGCCCAGGAGACCAGGGTAGCACGCCAGGGCATGTTTCTGGTCTGAGGTGTTGCAGAGGCCAAGTGAGTAGAATGCTGGAACATCACTGTGGTTCAGGCTGAAAACATCCAGGAGCTACAGGAGTTGACCTGATATGAAATGTGAGATATAAATTAAAGTTCATTCTTTGTGTGTCTACATGTCTAGGTGCCATGGCATCATTTATTGAAAAAGACTGCGTTTTCTCCATCCATTTGTTTTTGTACTTTTCTCAGGAGTAAGTTGGGCATGTTTGCATGGATCCCATTAGGTTTTTATTTTGAGAACTTAGAAAAGTACAGAGGGAGGCAGGAGAGATGGCTCAGAGGTTAAGAGCATTGCCTGATCTTCCAAAGGTCCTGAGTTCAATTCCCAGCAACCACATGGTGGTTCACAACCATCTGTAAAGAGGTCTGGCGCCTTCTTCTGGCCTTCAGGCATACACACAGACAGAATATTGAGTTCTTTCCTTCTCTTTGGACCTTAGGGATTGTATATACAGTAGTTACGGTCTTCATTGAATTATGCAGAACACAGGCTTACCACACATGTGAAATACACAGCTGGGACTGTAGAAAGGGAAGGGAGGTAGGGTGGTTGTGCACCAGGCTGTGGAGTGGGATGGGAGGCAGTTGAATATGCTCAAGGAATTCCCCACCCTACTGGACTGTTCTGTTACTGAATAGAACAATGTTGACAGTCTGGAGGGCAGAGAGCAAATCAGAAAACTAACAAGTTTAAATTTTAATCTTTTGTCCTTATACTTTTTTCTTTTCTTTTTATTTTGTTTGTTTATTTATTTATTTTGTCTTTTCTTTTCTTTTTTAACATTTTTATGGTTTATTTAACTTTATTTTATGTGCATTGGTGTGAAGGTATCAGATCCCCTGGAACTGGATCTTCTGACAGTTATGAGCTGCCATGTGGGTGCTGGGAATTGAACCCGGGTCCTCTGGAAGAGCAGTCAGTGCCCTTAACCACTGAGCCATCTCTCCAGCCCCTATTTATTTTGTTTTTTGAGACAGGGTTTCTCTGTATCGCTTTGGAGCCTTTCCTGGAACTTGCTCTGTAGAACAGGTTGACCTTGAGCTCACAGAAATCTGCCTTCCTCTGCCTCCCCTAGTGCCGGGATGAAAGGATGAGCCACTATCACCAGGCATTCTTTTTTTTTTTCTCTTCTCTTCTTTTCTCTTCTCTTCTCTTCTCTTCTCTTCTCTTCTCTTCTCTTCTCTTCTCTTCTCTTCTCTTCTCTTCTCTTCTCTTCT